GTTTGAGATGTGCGTGTCGTGGGTAGACCTTTATCCCAGCGCTGACCTCACGTCTCTCGAAGGTGACTCTCCATCTCGCTCAAAAATCTCCTATCATTTATTCATTCCTCATCTCCAAACCCTCTCTCTCTCTCTCTCTCTCTCTCTCTCTCAGGCACTTTGCTAGCAGTCCCAATGGTCGTTTAATTTTTGAGCGGATATTTTTAGCTGAAGATAATCGAGGTGGAAACTTCCATCTGTCCTCTGCATATTCCAGCTGCTCCGCTTTTCAGCGGGAAAAAGCAAATCAAGGGAAAAATCATCATCATTTTGACCCCTCACTTTTGTTCAAACACAAAAGAATAAGGGGAAAGTTCACAAAATTAGTATTGTTTTTTACTACGGCCATATTCGCTTTACTTAGTGCCAAAAAAGTGACTAAAAAAATAAACTTTCTTTATGTTTAAGTTGATAAGAACACTGCATATTTAAATAGTTCATAATCAAGAGATGCTCTAACCATTTTTGTTATTGTTATAGACCAAAAAAAAACACTTTTCTGTTATTAGAAAAAGATTAAATTAAATAAAATTTAACTGAAAAAAATATGTTGAAGTACTATAATTACCAAAACTAAAATCAATTAAACCTAAATAGAATAAAAATGACAAAAGCACCTAACAAAATTATTAAAACTGAAAATATACAAATAAAAGCTAATATTGTAATACAAAAATAATACGAATACTAGTTCCCACAATGTCTGACCAATGAACTTTTTCTAATTTACTTAAACTTGAAGTTTCTTAAAAATAAACTGCACTCAGAAAGAGCCAATTAAAAAACACGGTTTACACTATTATTCGCCATAGATAGAAATTTCTGGAAATCACAATATATTAAATAAAATATATTTATATTAAAATGAAAAAGAAAAAATATTTATTGTGGAGAAAAATCTAACCATTGTTGTTATTGTAAAAAAAAAAATCTTATATTTAATAAAATAAAATACAATTTTAGAATAAACTGAAAAAAATAAGTTGAAGTACTATAATTACAAAAAACTAAAACTGAAATAAAATAAATTAAACCTAAATAGAATAAAAAATGAGGAAAGCAACTAACAAAATTATTAAAACTTCAAATCTAAAAATAAACGCTAATCAAATATATTAGTATATACAAAAATAATACGAACACTAGTTCCCACAATGTCTGACCAATGAACTTGTCGAGCAACTATACTTAAAAATAACTACACTCAGAAAGAGCCAATGAAAAACCACGGTTTACACTACATTATCCGCCATAGAAATTTCTGGAAATTTATTTATATTACAGTGAAAAAGAAAAAAATATATTTTGTAGAGAAAAACTTTCTTCCTCATCCTTGAGAAAACGATCTGCACCGTTTATATCTTTAAAAAAAAATCAATTTTCATGTAAATTCAGTTTGATTTGATTTCTGCATTCAGCGCAGGGTCAAAAAGAGCAGCACGGCTTCGGATGAACTTTAATAGGCAGAATTGATCTGTTCGCTGGTGTGGCTCCTGAACCCAGAGGCGATAAGCAGAGAGAAACACTGAACCAAATCATTCATTCCAGCTCAGACCTCTGATGACGACTTGGTCAGTTGGCAGTGCATAACTCTGTCTCAATCGATCTGTCTACTTTTCTTTGTGAAGTTCGGTGTAGCATGCTCATTTTTATCCTCTCATGCCCTCAAGGTAGCTTCATGTGGCCATTTCCTAACGGCAGAAATGCAAAATTAATGACCGAAGATCCGGCGATCATGTGCAAGGACGTGTCTCTAAACTGACAGTGACAGCGGCGCAGGAAACACAGCGAACACAGGAGGACCGAATGTAAGGACAAGCCAGTTTCCGACAACAGCATCCATAACGCCACGGCCTCGGTGGGATAAAAACACAGGGTTTAACCTGAACCCGGGCTCTCGTGACACTTTACAAGCGAACCCCACTCAGTGAGCAGAACTAAACACCTGGAAGTGCTCTGTAAATGGATCCTGCACCACAGATGACAACATTGCGTATTTTCTCAGAGGATGTACTAGCAAATGCTATCACAAACATGCATGTATTAATGAGACATGTCTGGATATAGATGTACACATCCAGGGCTGTTATCTCATCGGCTTAACGTCTGCATGCTTTACACACACTCAGAGAGAGATACTATGTTACGAGGAGGTTGAATTAGGCCAGCGCCAATGTGTAGGTGCACACTTACAAACGTCTCTATTCCTTTGTGGCCATACCGATAATTCTTTATAATTGAAAACCGATGTGTTTTATATCATTTTTGGAGCCTGATTCCAAAAACAAAAGTCTCATCATTAAACCCGTGTCCCATGCGACATTATGATTTTAAGTAGCCGATATGAAATACTTGCGGTGCACTTGATGCACTTCGCTGTATTTTCCTTTTTTGAAGTGATTTTAATCATATTTCAAGCTATTCAAAACCATCATGGTGAACAGTACGCATATTAAGTGTCTCAGCTGAAAGAAATATTACATTAAATGAATTGTTTTCCTTTAATATGCGTACTGTTCGGATTATTTATCAGCTTTAACATACCGGACAAATTTTCATCAGGCCGATACCCATAATATTAAAAATGATCATATATCAGCCGATATCGATATATTGTGCATCCCTAATCATCGCTTAGTCAACTATCAACAAAATAAATACTGTATATATATATATATATATATGAAGAGTTCAGATGCAAAAGCCTCTAAATGCCATTTGAAATTTTTAATGATGATTTTTATGAAACTTGTATATTTAAGTTCAGTAATTTCACTTAAATGGCAATGATAATTACCTATTAATTGTTATTTAAGTGAAATTACTGAACTTAAATATACAAGTTTGATAAAAAATTATCATTAAAGAAGAAAATTTCAAATGGCAGTTAGAGGCCTTTGCATCTGAACTCTTCATGTGTATATACTGTATATATATATATATATATATATATATATTCAAAACACTGAACCAAATCATATATATATATATATATATATATATATGTGTGTATGTATATTTCAGGTTCATTTCTTTATTGTCATTGTTATAAATAACAACGAAATAACATCAAAAAGTCCTACAGTATAAGTGCAGTAAAAAGTATACAAAAGTGCATATCCGTTATATATGAAACGTCTATATTTATCGTCACTCCCTCTTAAAATCTCCTGTGCAATATTATTATGTAAAAACAGAATTTCTGTTTAATAGCATCTAATAAGTTTAAAGGTGCGTTCAAAAATGCTCAGTCTATAATAAGTAAATCCTGTGCAAACAATAGCAGACGGTCGCAAGATTTCGGGAAACATGTTTGACAACAGTACACGTTTTTACTTTTAATCAGGCAAAGTCGACGTAGAACAATATTGACTTAATACTTATATTTTGTTCATATCCTTGAGAACACAATCTGCAAAGTTAATTTAAGAAATGCATTTTATCCCAATTCAGTTTGGTTTGATTTTGAAAAGCGACAACCAGCTTTTCTTGTATGCAAGTACATTTAAAAAAAATATATATATATATAGTTTACACTTTATTTGAAGGTGTTCGTGTCACAGTGTAATTATACATTTAAGTACTGATTAATAATAATTAACTACATGAGGTGGTGATGTCGCAGTGGATAAGACACATGCCTTTGGTGTGAGAGACCCGGGTTCGAATCCACCCTGAACAAGACACTTAACCCCTAGTTGCTCCAGAGGCGTGCGACCTCTGACATATATAGCAATTGTAAGTCGCTTTGGATAAAAGCGTCAGCTAAATAAATAAAGGTAAATGTAATGTAAACTCAATGTACTTTGTACTATATGAATAGGATTAGGGTTAGTTGCATGTAATTAAGCTAGTATTACTAGTAACAACATGTACTTTATTTAAATTAAAATAAAGTGTTACCAAGTTGCTTAATGCAACTTCAGTTCATAATCAAACCAAACTGAATTAATAATATACGATGCAGATTGTTTTCTCACGCACACTATGAATGCATATTCAGACATGTGAAATAATGAACATGAAATGATCTTGAAATTCCTCCCAAAAAACAAGAAAAAAAAATAAAGGAACGCCCCTTTTTCTCAACAGACCCATCCTAAATGACAGCGGACGAATGATAAGTTTGAAACTATTCAGGTGATACCTGTGTGCATGTCATGTGGGCCAACATATGCACATCACTCCAATTCCACAGAGGATGGTACAGTGAAAGTGTGTGAGTGTGTGTGTGTGTGTGTACGTGCATCTGACTGTCAGAGAGCGTCACGTGGAGCAGTGCTCTTCATAATCTGGTTGGATTACGGCTCTCAGACCTGCGCCGTCTGGCCCGTCCGTGAGTCCTCGGCCACCACGTATCCGCTTCATGTCCATCATGACCCACTCACAATTTCACAGCATCCAGCTTTATGTTGTTCGGATCACACACACACACACACACACATACATACACAAACAGAACAGCTGGACTTTGCGTGCCACAAAATATGCATGCAAGCAAACCCCAGCAGAGTGTGTAAGACACTGAAAACCATTGAAAGCCACTGAAAGTCAGCTTGAGAGGATTATGGGAAATTTGGTGTGTGTGACAAAAAGGGGCATGACAGTCACATGACAGTTGTCAAACTTCTCCAACATCTTTCAAATGTTGAACTGCTCCCAAGACCTACTTTATAAACTCTTGATTTTTAAAATGCAAATATGTCATTTATATCAAATTTATAAAACTTAAAAAGACCATCGTCCTCTAACTAAGACCTTGTTTACATTCCTAGTAAATGCAGGACTTTGTGACGTCAAGCGCGCGCGCACACACAGCAGCAACTAACTAGTAGACAAAACAATTTGCGGCACTAAGTTAAATAATACGTGGAAAAAAGTAAATAAAACAAAGTGTTGTGTTTTGCGTTTTATAGTTTGGTTTTTAAATAAATAAAATAATAATAAATAATAAAACTTACCATTCAAACAAAAGAAGACCAGCCAAGCAATCCATAGATCAGAATTGTGAAATTTCAGCATTTTTTCTGAGGGAAAGTCGTCGTGTTATAAAGTTCAAAGTCAATTAAATCTTCTCCACAGTTTGTCCATTAAAAGAGAATTCATGAATGAAGTCTAAAGCATGTTTGAAATATTTCAACGATGACATAGAAACCAAAGAAAAAACTAGCACAATCAAATCGGCGTCGCGTAAAATTCCCTCAGAGAACTCGATGGATGCGCGTGAATGCGCCCGGTTCGGTCAGTACGGGAGGCTCCGGTTCTGTTCTTCAGCTCAACACGGAGGTGTGTTCGCATGCCGTTCACGGAGAACCGGATAAACGTGCACCGGACCCGCGAGATGCCATGACCGACGCCGTTGCCGCCTCTCTCCACTCTGATTGAGAAATCTGACTGACTAACTGACTACTGGCCTGTTGCCTAGAGACCGCTGACGCCAGTCGAAGCGCGAGGTAACCGTGCCCTCCACTGGCGCGAAAAGGAGGTAGCGCGCACGCACGCCCCGGTGTGAGCGCGCGTCAGGTGCGCGCAGGAGTGATGCGAACGGGATTTTGAGAGCAAGATTGTGAGAGATCAGTGTATTGATTGTTGTTAAATTAACCAGTCTATAGTTTTTAACAGACATAAACATTTGGCCCATTTATTTTAAAAGAAATACTACTGAGGCACTTTGAAATTCATTTTAAAAGGTTTTACTACCTTTTTTTTAAAAATGTATATATATATATATGTGTGTGTGTGTGTGTGTGTGTGAGAGAGAGTATGTGTAAATACTATGTATTATTTTAATACTATATATTATATAAGGTATATATATATATATACACTTCCTGTTTCAGTGTTTGAAACTGTTTTCTTTCTTTATTTCACATGTAAAGAAAATATCTTAAAGATGTTGTTTAACTTTTTGATTCAGTTTTACCTGTTCTGTTGGTTGTATTTTATACTAGCTTTTATTAAAAAACTGAAACAGGAAGTGCTTCTGGACCAGTGTTTACATCTTGCAAAATGGTCTATATATGAAGAGTTCAGATGCAAAAGCCTCTATGTGCCATTTGAAATTTTCATATAATGATCATTTTGATCAAGCTTGTATATTTAAGTTCAGTAATTTCACTTAAATGGCAATGATAATTACCTATTAATTGTTATTTAAGTGAAATTACTGAACTTAAATATACAAGTTTGATAAAAATCAAATGGCATTTAGAGGTTTTTGCATCTGAACTATATATATATATAAATATATATATATATACACACCCTATATAATATATAGTATTCATATAATAGTATTTACACATATTCTCTCTCTCACACACATACTCTCTCTCTCTCTCTCTCACACACACACTCTCTCTCTGTCTCTCTCTCTCTCTCTTATACACACACACACATGTCCATCTTCTCTGCTGCAGGTTCTGCTGATGTTCAGATCTCTGAACCCCCAACATCTCAAACTGCACAAACAAGCCAACTAACTTTTCTTGTGATTAAACCTTCAGCATTCTCCGTGTGTGTGTGTGTGTGTGTGTGTGTGTGTGAATATGCAGCAGAAGATTGACAGGTTGAACACATGAAACACACACACATCGCTTTACACTGCCGGTGTTTGGCACAGAATGAGAGAAAGAGCTCGTCTGATGGACAGAGAAACAATTCTCTCTCTCTCTATCTCTCTCTCTCTCACACACACACACACACACACACACTCTCTCTCTCTCTCTCTGCAGCCTCTGGGCAGCGATCGCCCTGTTCTCTTATCTCTGGCACACAGTTGTCAGTAAAGACAGTGTTTTGGAAGCTCCAGCTCTTCATCCCTGCTGTTCAGAGGCATTATGTGTGCGTGTCGTACTCAAACACAGACCAATAACCAAACAAATCGTGCTCAAACAAGACAGATCTGTGCTAAACCCATCTCAAACCAACCAGGCATATCTGCATAAACGCAGAGTTAGGAGAGAGACACTGCAGTGTTGCGCATCACGTCTTCTTTAATCCAAGTTATTAGATAAAGTCCAGAGGTTACACACACCACCAGTCAAACACTTCGCATCAGTAAGAGTTTTAATGTTTTTAAAAGAAGTCTCTCCTGCTCACCAAGGCTGCAATTATTTGATTAAAAAAAATACATTAATCATAAATGTTTCTTGAGCATCAGATCCTCATATTAGAGTGATTTCTGAAGGGTCATGTGACACTGGAGTAATTCAGGAATAAATTACACTTTACTATCTATTCACATAGAAAACAGCTAATTAAAATTGACATTTTTAACAATATTGCTTATTTTAATCAAATAAATGCAGCCGTGGTGAGCAGACGATCCAAAACCTTTGACTGGTAGTGTGTTAATTTGCTAAAATTAACTTTATGTGCATTATAAAATCACATTATAAAGCCCACACTTAAAATCAAACTAATAATAACCAACAAACACAGAGAGCTAAGACAAAAAGAATGAAAACAATTTCAGACACTAGAATTTATTAAACCAGCGAACAAATTTACACAAAATAATACAAAACTCTGTTTTATCCCAGCGTTTCATTACAGGCAACATTGAGTAAGTAAGTAGCGCCACCTTGTGGAAAAATGGAGTTACAGCTCTTCATTCATTGAAAAATCCTCTTATAAAGAATTTTATGATGAATCTTCAGTCTTGATTTAGTCCTATAAAAAAAGAAGAGGCATACATCAGATTATTAAAAGTCCTTTAAGAGTCTCGTACACTTAAATGATTGAGTATTGTGTGTCCGATTGAGTGTTTAAGTTCGACAGGAGAGTAGATGAAAGGCACATATATTATGTAAACACAAACTTTTATTTTGGATGCGATTAATCTTTGCACAGCCCTAGTATATATAAATATATATTATATTCTTTGAGAATATTATAATACATTTAGTGCTGTAAAATAGATTAATCTAACATAAAAGATATACACACACAAAACATAAAATTCATATATCATATACTGTATATATATTGTATCTTTTATGTTAGATGTGATTAATTTATTTTACAGCACTAAATATAATGTAATATAGCAGTGTGAATAAACCCTTCATTTCGTATGAAGGAGGACCTTTGACTGTCGTTGTCTTTTACAAGTGTTTTTTTATTGGCAAGATGTGGAAAAATGATGCAGTCAATCAGATTAAATAGCCACGATCACAAGCACTAGGAAATGCATTAGTAAACACTTTCATACACTGTCGAGTGTGACTAAAATTCTCTAAATACTTTTAGGAGCCCCTGCATATTACATGTTCCTCTATAAATAAACGTAATCAAACCAGCAAAGCATGCTGCTCATATACATATTTACATATAGTGTGTTTTATTCAAATAATCTATACTCACAGAACAGGTTAAGCATATTTTTCAGAGACAGATCTCATCTTTCTTTGTGTGTGTGAGTCTGAGTAAAGGTTATTTTGGAGACGATGTGGGTGTGTGTCGGAAAGTGTGATATCTGATAGGTGACGTAACTGCAAGAACGTTGTATGGGACGGGAACAAGTCACAGCAAATCTTTCCCAGAGACCCTCCTAAAAAGCACCCGCCCTAGATAGTGTGTGTTTACAGTCGTATGGGTGGACCACGCCTCAATCAACCTGTTTTACCAGCCCAACCCGGGGCGACTTTGGTCATTATGTCTGTCCACTGAGCTCATTTATTGCTGATAAAATTGGTCACCCCCAATACCTGCGCATTATTCATAGAGCATTCAAAGTGTGTTAAAAAGATTACCGAATCACTGGAGGAGGATGACTTGTGGCCATCCTTCTTCTTGTGTTCCTTCTTCTTCTTCTTGTCTTTGTCTTTATGTTCTCCTTTATCCTTGTGTTTGTCTTTATGTTCTTTTTTATCTTTGTCTTTATGTTCTTTTTTATCTTTGTCTTTATGGTCTCCTTTGTGCTTGTCCTTATCCTTGCAATCACTCTGAGAGAAAATGTCATATATAATAAGGAAGTTGCTGCGGCCAATTTTTTAATTCATAATATCACTATTTACATATGCAAAATTATTATACAGCGCTAACTGATGTTAAATATCAACACTTCCCTTGTTTGTGTGCTGTATAGCACGAGAAAAAATGTGATTTGTGTCATATTTACCTCAGTATGACAACAATCACAACACAAATATCACTAGTGTTTACTGGCGTTTCGATTGGTATGAATTTTACCTTGTCTTTGCTTTTGTCTTTATCCTTCTTTCCAAACCCAAAGATTCCCTCCACTTGTTTTCCCTCAGACTTTTTCACCTCGTCATCTCCAACAGCTGGAAAAAGGAGAAACAAACACTAGTTTCACTCTGAAATCGTTAAAATTAGGCTTACTAAATTCAACCAGTGCTTCTTAATTCAAGTTAAATGTTTTAAAAAGGTGAGCAGCATTTTACCTGCTTTCAGATCGAAGTCCATGATGAGGTTATTACACTCTCTGATCGACGTTTAGGAAAGAACTGCACTTTCAGGTGAGAGATACGCAGTTTCAAACTAAAAAGATGCGTTTCTCATGAATATTAAATAGGCGGGCGTACGTCAGCAAATTTAGAATGTCTGATTGGCTGGAATGCAGAAGGGAGGGAGTTAGTTGGCGAATGGAACGATCCTTCGATGCGGAAGCATTTGGTCATGAATATTAATTAGATGGTGTGATTGGGCCATCAAAGTGCAAAATCATTAGTAATTGTCGCGTCCAGGTGTCCAAATCAGGTGTGTGTTTACGGCAGTATCTGTTTCTGCCCCTGATGTAGGCTACAAGTAGGCCTATCATGTTATGCAAGTATAACTGGAGTATCCTGTTTCTGCATTTGATCTGGTAATATATTCAGACGTGAGAAATACAATTGCCAGCTTTGTGTGGGTTTAGTTAGTATAATGCTTTTGTTAAAGTGTGAAGTTATACAAACTGCTAATCTCGCTACTAGAAAACGCCCTAGCCTACTGTATACTCACGATGTATACTTTCCCCCAGCGTTATCAAGAGATATGTGAATTGTGTTATAAAAAAATGCGCTATAAAAATGCACGTCACGTGGGATCATTATGGATATGGAAAAAATTTTTTTTTACATAATGTGCAATTTATGGTTTGTTGTACAGTGGCCTAAATAAAGGCGTGCCAGGGCGAATATTCCTCAAGGAGGGGGTTATTTTGAAAAGTCACTTTTGTAAAAAAAAAAAAAAATAATAATAATAATTAACACATCATTATTATATATTATATGTGAGTCAGATTGGGAACCTGCTGTGCATTGACTGATGTGAGAAAATATTTGTAATGTGACATAGGCTGCTATACCTAACACACATAAAACCAATGCATTTTCAACAATATAATATTCCCAATGTATTATAAGCTATTTAGTTGCTTTAACAGAAAAGCAATGAATAAACTAACAACATTTCCAGAGATTCGCACATCATAGAAAATACGTAACAGCTTGCACCAGCACGTAAAATGTACATATAATTCACAAAATATTTAAAACAAATGGTTTGAAACCAACATGCAAAACCACTGAGAAAACAAGGATTTGTGCAATAGCATTTTTTAATTGAAAACCTTTAGTTTCTGCAGAGAAAGCCCTAAGGACACCATCCATGTGACAAAGCCACACACACACACACACGTGTCTTTTGCATATGAATTTACAGAAATGATTTGAGGAACATGGATCATAAACTGAGCATTCAGTCATCAGGATCAATCTGTTTATGCATTTGTTTATGTTGGTTCCGTATGAATCTTTCATGCACATTCTCTGCCCACATGGAAACCGGTTTGTCTGAAATGGTGCGTATGGTGCGTTTACACATTTAAACTGGACAGGACTGTTTTATGTTACTTACATGTGAGAATTATGAGCACAAAACATGATGAATGTGGAAAAAAGTAGCAGCTTTAGCCTACTGCATTAATATAGGCATACACTCTAAAAAATGCTGGGTTGTTTCGACCCAAATTTGGGTCAAATATGGACAAACCCAAATGCTGGGTTAAAAATGTATTTAAAAAAATAATTTAAAAAATTAAATTGCATTTTTAACCCAAAATTATGGGTTTGTCCATATTTGACCCAAATTTGGGTTAAAACAACCCAGCATTGTTTAGAGTGTAGAGTTGAACTAAGGCATCACAGTCACGATCAGAAAACGAGTCAGAACGACACATTTGAGTCTTTTGTTTTAAATCGTAGGACTTACAATAAGGGCCATTTAGTTGCATTACAGTAAAAACAATAAGCAGTACATTTGTTTCAGCTTCTTTTTATTTGTTTGGCTACTCTCTGCTGTCTCAGACGACGACATCACTTCCTGTCGGCCACCGGGTGCAATTCACAACCTCACCTCTAGATGCCGTTATAATCACACATGAACCTATAAAGCAGGGGTCTCGATCTCTCAAAACTCAACTGCTGGAGATAGCTGGGCCGCATCAAGTATTCCACAAAAATAAATAAATAAATAAAATAATAATAATAATAATAATATATATATATATATATATATATATATATATATATATAAGGATTCCAAAAAAAAAAAAAAAGGAGCACAACTGATCCTATCTTCTCAGTCTTTATTATTTACGTTTCTTCTGAACTGTTCCTCTGAATTTGAACATTGCTTTCTGTACCTACAAGATTGGTTCTTCATGAGCTGCCCTTCTGACAGTTGAAGTTCATTTTACAAACTTTCTTTTCCTTGTACACAACATCTTTGTGATGCTTCATTTTACAAAAATTATTTTTCTTTTCCTTAAAACACATCTTTGTGATGCTTATATTTGCTCATGTCCTTTTTATTTTCTTTATACAACATAATACACTCTCAGAAAAAAAGGTACAAAAGCTGTCACTGGGGCTGTACCTTTTCAAAAGGTACACTTTTGTACCAAAGGCTGCATATCGGTACCTTAGTGGTACATTTAAGCACCTAAAATGTATATATTTAACACCTAAAATGTACATATTAGTACCTAACATGTACATATTAGCACCTAAAATGTACTTAGCTCGTGAAATGGACATATTAACACTTAAAATGTACATATTAGCACTTAAAATATACATATTAGGACCTAAAATGTACATATTAGGACCTAAAATGAACATATTAGGACCTAAAATGGACATATTTGCGCCTAAAATGTACTTATTAGGACATAAAATGTACATGTTAACAACTAAAATGTACTTTTTAGCACCTAAAATGTACACATTAACACCTAAAATGTACATATTAGCACCTAAAATGGACAAAAGGTTACCTTTTGAAAAGGTACAGCCCCAGTGACAGCTTTTGTACCTTTTTTTCTGAGAGTGTATGATATTGAATGTTTTTTGGAAGGCACTTTTCCATTTATTATACTTAAAAAAAAATGCTTTTGAAATACAAATATTTGTAGTCATGTCTGCCATCTTATTGAATTCTTTCCACACATAACCATATGAAGGTGTATTGGTGCTGTTATGTTTATGTTTATATTGTTGTACAGTATTTTTAATTACAAATTGTTTAATTTTTAATCTCCACATGCATTTAATAATTTAAATGTGGTTTTGGTGTGTTTATGATTTAATTCCCAAAGTCCCAACACTGAATTGCACCAGGAGATGGAGACACTTACACACTTTATTTGTTGGAAATTTCAAAATGTTATTATTTTATACAATAATAATAATAATAATAATAACAACAGTTATTTTTTTTTATTTTTTTTGGACAGCAGTTTTAAAAGCTTACAATGTGTTTCTGTAACCAGACCCAGATTAAACTGCAGTGTTCTTGGAGCAGGTTTTCATCTAATCTTTTATTATTATTAAAGATCATTATTATTTGAACATTATAGGTGGTCAACCAGGTGATCTGAAAACGGCCATGCTTCGAAATGAAAAGGGATTATAGCTCAGGATATCATTTAATTTGCTTTGATGTTTTATATGCTCTTTCACGTTTATCTTCCTGTGCTAAAAGATAGAAATAAATGTTATTCATTTACTTTCTCTTAAACCATTTAATAAGTTGATAACGTTTGATGTTACAGAAGTCTTTTCCTGGAGTTGTACTAAGAAACAATGTGGTGAAGAAGTCAAAGTATTAGTGTCTTTGTCTTATTTCTGGGAAACACATAAAGATTCTGTACACAAAATAATAAAACATTTTTAATAGACGATCCTCATCCAGACAGAATGATGAAAAATGTATGACGATGATCGTAAAAGTGCACGTCCAGTATTTGTTTATTTGCATGGCTGGTATATTTCTGTGCTGTTTTCTACAGTATTTAAAGATTACCCATGCGTTTATGTGAGGTGAATGTTTGACAGGAACACACACACACACACCTGTAGATTACTCAAAACTCAAAATGTCTTTGAGCCTATTTTATCAATAAGTCTAATAACGGATTATAAATATCAATACGTGCACTAAAATAAGCACAATAATTAGAAAACAAATAAATAAGGTACTAATTAAAATAAAAAAATGAGTTATTTGTTATTTATTTGATTTATTGTTCTTTTATAACAAAACCTGTTTTACGTGTTAGATCTGTAAGATCTTCAAAACACAAATTAAATTATTTAAATTGAAATCTGAGAGATTTCTGTCCCACCATTAAAAGTGTGTGACAAAATATAGAGCCCAGTTACATTTTCTAAAGAGATTTGTTCGCTTTATATGATTAATAGGTTGAATTTTGGCATTTATTCTCATTTTGATCAGCGAACATAAACCGAAGCTAAACCGCACATGCGTGATGAACGAGATCAACCTCATTGGTTCTTGCTGAAGCTCAAACGTGATGCGTAACATGAGAATGAACCTCATTGGTTCTCGCCTGTAAAGCAAGCATGCTTGAAGCTTTTCTGATGTGTGTGTTGATTGATGTTATATTTCAATAAAAAAATTGATGAATTGAATTCATCAAAAATTGAATTCATGTGGATTAGTTTTACAATCACTTTATGGACTTTTTTAATAAAAAGTTTCAGTTGCGTATCAATGTGCATGGGCAGAAACACTCATTTCATTAAAAATTCATTCGAAAAATGAACAAAAGTAATTTGTGCATGAGTCAGATGTCAGAATTTTAATTTTTTGGGTGAACTAACATTTAATTGTCTCAAAGGTACATTATTATATTACATTTTATTGTCATCAAGCTAAAACTTTCTTTTGATACAAAAAGTGTATAGCTTTTCTTATTTTGTTTTATTTTCAATAAAGCCTAGTTTTATGTTTGATACTTTTGTCTATATTCAGGGAGCGTTTGTACACACAGGCTCACTTATTTTTCCATTGCATAGCCTACATACAAAAATATATTGGATTGACGTGCAGCGTTTATGCATTATGTGGATTTATGTGGATGTGGGGGTTTATGTAGCATTATGTGGATTTGACATAATGATACACTTCAAGGATCGTGAGATTGAGAAAGATAAGGCATACTTAATACAATTGTTAATATTAATGAAAAAATTTCACATTCATAAGATAAAATGTTTTCTTGCTTTAAAAATGATTTCAAGCTTCGTTGTTCTGTTTTGTGTAATTGTTGCACAGGCAATTAGAGCTTAAATCATTGTATGATGTTGTATAAAGTAGCACCCTTTTTCTGTTGTTTGTTATAACTTTTTTTTTTTTTTTACCTCTGGCACTGTTTTTACTTTAATTTTTATGATTACGTCTTATTGTATTATTCTGGTTTATGGCATTAAAAAAAATAAAAAAATTGTAGGTGTAGGCCGCGCGCGAAGTGGGCGGAGCTTATGTCTGCAAGCCCCGCCTCCCGCTCAGCTGAACACAAACTTCTTTCACACACAGAAGTCTGTCACGCTGCGTGCCATTATTACACAAGAGCCGCGTTGACGCTGCGACGCGCCGCTTGCCGCATTTCCACGCTCACATTTATGTGCCTGAATGTGTTGTGGAGCGAGATCTGTTGTTTTTGATCTCTTCTCCGCCTGTGTGTGTGAGTGTGTGAGTGTGTGAGAGCTGCAGTCATGGCTGTGGACGGAACAGACCAGCGCGCGCTTCAGTATGAACAAACTTTGGTAAGTCTTGTTCTGTTTTCGTGTGTTATCTGAAAGACTTTGATTGAGTGTGTGTTATCAGTGGTCTTCTGCTGTTAGAGCTGTCAGTCATGTGTGTGTGTGTGTGACTCTTGAGCTGTCGAGGAGTCAAATCACCTTCATTTATAGAGCTTTTAACAATATAGATGGTTTCAAAGCAGCTTTACAGTGATAACAGGAGATTACAGTACAGATAACAGAGATTTTTTAGGCTTTTTAGCAGCTCTAAAATAAAGTTATTGTCCAGATAAAGTTAGTTTATTTTTAGGTCTAAATTGAGGAACAATCATGATTCATTAACCATAACGCGATGAGCGTGAATAAGAGTCTCTCTCTCTCTCTCTCTCTCTCTCTCTCTCTCTCTCTCTCTCTCTCTCTCTCTCTCTCTCTCTCTCTCTCTCTCTCTCTCTCTCTCTCTCTCTCTCTCTCTCTCTCAATTCAATTCAATTCAATTAAATTAAAAATTGCTTTATTGGCATGACTGTACATACAATATTTCCAAAGCTTGGAATACATATAATAATTATAAAGACGTCAAAATAGTAAAATAATACAGCATTTTAAATTGATCGTACAAATTAACAGTGTAAAAGAAATAAATAAAATGGAAGTTTATGAACATTTCTATGAAATAGAAGTTTATGAACAAAAACAGTTTATGAGCATTTAAAAATTCTGTGAAGAATTTAGAAAAACAATGTGTATGAGTGTGTGGTGTGTGTGTGTGTGTTGGCGCATCACTGATTGGTCGTCGACTGTGTGTGTGTGTATGTGTGTCTTACTGTCGTTCAGAGCTCAGCAGGTGTTGCTCTCCTCCGGCTTATTAAATATGACTCGTGAGTTATTGCCCATTTTGATTTTGACAGGAATTCATCAACTCATTTATGGGGGCAAAATCTGCTCACCAGGGCTGCATTTATTTGATCAAAATACAGTAAAAATCGTGAAATATTATTATAATCTAAAACAGGTGTTTTCTAAGTGAATATATAGTAAAGTGTAATTTATTCCTGTGATCAAAGCTGTCTTTTCAGGATCATTACTCCAGTCCTCAGTGTCACATGACCCTTCAGAAATCACTCTAATATGATGATCTGATTCTGACATTATAAATCGTAAATAACTCTGAATTATTAATTATACGGATGCACAAGAAACATTTATGCCTTACTTTTAAGTAACTGATGCACCTTTTTTACATGCATGAGTTTTGTACTGTATGTCTAGCATGTGTCTCTATTGAAATAGCTAAATCTTTAAGTTAACATGTGTGTGTGCATGTGTGGGAGCCATTGGCCATAAATGTCTTTATCATTAGTTCAAAAGGAAGATAACAATTCTATATCAGTATTTACGCAAGCAGGAACTCTGCTGAATCAACACAATCTGACACACACACACACAAAGGCTTTTGTTTTTTAGCTTGTGTGAAAGGGACAGACAGAACTGAGCGATGGCCACATACAGTATCTGATTTTAAAACATCTTTTATGATTCATCATTGGCCTTTAATCGAATCTAAAGATGCATTTTTTATGACTGCCGATATAAATTGCTTTTCTGAACCTGTTTTGCTTCCGCATTCTCCTGTAATTCCCATATTAATCCATCAAGAATTTATTTGGATGATGTAAAACGCTCCGTTACATAAATTTCACAGACTTTTTGGGAGGAAAAACATTACTCTGACACTGCTTCCTTTAGTCTGTTCTTGCATTATTTTGTGCAATCTTGACGTGTAGAAATGCATTGTGGGTAATTGAAAGACCGTTAATGGGATTAACGGAGAACAGGAACCTTAGTTTTACATCACGTCCGTCCTTTCTGTCTCACAAACCCGGTTGTCTGTTCCAGTCGAGCTGATGTCTTGTTTTGGTTCTGGCACAGACAATAGAGCGCACTTGTTTTGAGATCCACAATCTCATTACGCTTCATAAATGCCCTCGTTATTAGAGTGAAACCTGTTAAACAGTGACATGTTATTGAAACGCTCATAAATCATGTCAGATCTGCTGATGTTTGAGTTATTAATGTTATTAATATCGCAGTGTTTGATGTAATCCCGGTCAATAAATCCTGTGTGTGTTTCCATTGTTAATTGGATCAGATAAGGCTCGTCCTCCTCAGAGAACACTTAACTCGTTATGGTGTTATTGATTAGTTTTGCTCTTGATCTTCACATCTAATATTTAACATTTATGGGAATGTTCTCTGTTTTATAGTCGTTTGACTGACAGCTGTCAATCACCCATCCGTCCGTCCTTGGAATGCCACATTGTTCTAATAATTTTGAATTTGAAACTAATTGTATCTGACATGCTGACGATCAATTTTTGTAAAATTATTAATTTTACTTTTTTACTTTCTAATTTTAAAACTATTTATTTTGTAAAATACGTATAATGGGCGTTTAGCACCGTTTTAAAAGTATAAAAGCAGAAAAGAAATTTCACGTCAAATGCAAAAACAGATCTTTAGGATAAAATCTCTGCAGCGCAATCGGGGAAGAACTGAAGTCAAACATGTTTTCAAACCAAAGATTTGATATTTATTTAGCAAAATTTTGTTCTTTTTGCACTTTAATATATTTGGGGGAAAAAACACTATATTTTACAATTTCTTTATTATACTACATTATTTGAAATATTTGTTTTATGTTATACAAAATATTTGTCTTATTATGCTATATTTTATATTTGTTTTATAATACTATATTATTTAAAATATTTGTATATTAACCGAAATATTTGATTTATTATACTTTACTATATATATTTCACCTACAATATTGTATATATTGACTAAATGTTCTTTTGCACTTTAATCTGTTTGAAAAAAATAGTTTTATTACACTATATTTTATAATTGTTTTATTATACTATTTTTGAAATATTTGTTTTATGTTATAAGACAAATATTTTGTATATTTTATATTTGTTTTATTATACTATATTATTTAAAATATTTGTATATTAACCGAAATATTTGATTTATTATACTTTACTATACATTTCACATACAATATTGTATATATTGAATAAATGTTCTTTTGCACTTTAATCTGTTTGAAAAAAAATAGTTTTATTACACTATATTTTATAATTGTTTTATTATACTATTTTTGAAATATTTGTTTTATGTTATAAGACAAATATTTTGTATATTTTATATTTGTTTTATTATACTATATTATTTAAAATATTTGTATATTAACCGAAATATTTGATTTATTATACTTTACTATATATATTTCACCTACAATATTGTATATATTGACTAAACGTTCTTTTGCATTTTAATCTGTTTGAAAAAAATAGTTTTATTACACTATATTTTATATTTTTTATTATACTATTTTTGACATATTTGTTTTATGTTATAAGACAAATATTTTGTATATTTTATATTTGTTTTATTATACTATATTATTTAAAATATTTGTATATTAACCAAAATATTTTTATTTATTATACTTTATATATTTCACATACAATATTGTAGTTTTTAAATACACCATTAAAGTTTTATATTATTAATGCTCATTAAAGTTATTTGAAAAAGTTGTTAAACTTGTTAAGACAACACTAATGCAATAATAAAAGCATAATAATATAAAATAAATAAAAGCACCAACAGATTCAGGGAGAGAGAGAGAGAGAGAGAGAGAGTCTAGTGGTTTGGAAACACAAAGGTCGCAGGTTCTGCCTCTCACATAGGTTGAAGAGTTACAGAGATGACCTTTTAACCTTTGGTTACCCTAGTAACCTGCACTTTCTATTCGCTTGGATTAAAAAGTGTCTGATAAATGACAGATGTCCCACATTGCAAGAATAGATTTCCTAACCCAATGTTTTTGTCGTGTTTTCAAATAAAAATATCTCAAAATATTTTTTTGCATTGCAGTAAACCGCTGTCCACCTGCTTAAAAAGTGCATTATTTATGTATTATGTATTAATTTTGCATGCAAGTAAGTGTTAATTTATCATCCTTTTGATCAGCCCATATAAAAGTGAACAAACACACGCACGTTTTGCTGCAGGAATGACGAATCTCTCATCAGTAATGTGGTGAGCGAGTTCATTCCCGCTGCCGAACATTTAAAGGAAATAAATGACAAGTCTGAAAAGAGAAGAAAGTCAGGAAAACAAACCACATTCAATGAAAGAGTACGACTCTGCACCCAGTAAACAAAGACATGGTCCAAATCAAAGATCAATGCGTGCGTACTGTAATAAATGTGTGGTCACGCAGATCAAAACAATACATTGACATATTTCCTCTTATTATGTGACCAGACCCTCCCGCAGCTCATAATGAATGTCTTTACCTCTCCGACTCTTTTGGCCTTGTGTTGTTAAACTTTTTTGACTCTGGCTATAAAGTGTGGTCCACATTGCAGCTAATTTTAACCAATAGACCCGAAAAGAGTTAGCCAGACTCACATGTAAAGTGACCAACCACAGTTTGTTGTGTTCGGCATGTTATCTAAAAGTAGACGTGACTTATCAAAAAAGGCAGGAGTAGTTCACTTTAAAAGAAACTTTTGCTGATAATTTACTCACCCCCATGTCATCCAAGATGTCCACGTCTTTCTTTCTTCAGTCGAAAAGAAATGAAGGTTTTTGATGAAAATATTCGAGGATTTTTCTCAATATAATGGACTTCAATGGGGACCAAACGGTTCAAGGTCCAAATGAGAGTTTCAGTGCAGCTTCAAAGGGCTTTAAACGACAGCAGATGATGAATAAGGGTCTTATCTAGCGAAACGAGCGGCCATTTCAAAAAAAAAAAATATTAAAAAGTTTAAGTTTTATAAGTTTAAAAGCTCGCTCTGTTCTCTGTTCTGTGATGCGCGTTCGTGACTCTCCTGTTCGAACTGGTTCATCAAAATGAACAAATCTTTTTCCGATTCAATTCATTCGTTTCGTTCGTTGAATCAACCAAATGACTCGGAAAAAGATCTGTTCATTTTGATAAACAG